GTTGATCATGTAATTACCAAAGAGTCTTTCGTCTTTGTGTAAGTGTTATTGAACCGTTTGGCCTAGTAGATTGTATATCAGCATACCCTTCCAGGCTCTGAAAAAGGCGATACTGCCGAAACATCAGCTAGTGTTGTATTGTATTGTGTTTTTCTATGGAAGTAAATGTATGCTGTTTAAAAACCTCGCGATTGCTGAACAAGAAAACGGCGTTAGTAGCCCTGTTTTCCAGCTCCACTGAAACGCTGATCTTCATAGGCGCCAGTTCTGCTGCACATTCTGCTCCGTTGAACATGCAGAGCATGGCTTCATACGAAAAGTAGTAGCCATGTTTGGAATTTCCCACAAGCAGTGACATTCACTTAAACCTTGATGACGTTTTTTAATATCGTATACTAAATCCATCCAAATTTTGATGTAGTTCTGCAACTTAGTGTTAAGTTCATTATATGTTCCAGAAATTTTGTCTAGTAGTAAAAGAGTCAAGCAGAACGATATGGTAGCTGTGCAAAGTGTTGAGAATCGCTCCTTAGTAAACCCAGGGAAGCTAAGCGTTCTCTCTAAAAAATCGTTTGGAATTGCATATTCGCAAGCATTTCGATGCAAATAATCCTGTAATAGAACACTTTAAACGTTCGTGCCTTACGCACTTCGATCTAATCATTAATATTTATTGTCAGGATAGGTGTGCCTATTTTCTTTCACGGATCTGTGCATCAGTCGCGTTTAAAACAGTGATCGCTTTTAGGTCTCAAAAGAACGGCTTCTTACTTCGTATTGCTTTGCCACTGGTGGAGCGATGGCTACAGCACTTGGGGCAAACCGATTGTTAGCCAAAATGCGGGTATGAGCCGTTAAAGAATAGACTTTGCTCAGAAGAGTCGAGGTTCCAGAAATCTTCATTAATTTGCTTTCGGTGCTGCCGAATTCCACCAAGATACATTGCCGCTTTTGTGTTTCATACGCAAATTTTTGGGACTAGGAAAAGTAGAGTTGACATTTGGGTCAGTTAGTAGGCTTACATGAGGATGTCACAAATCTTTATTGTGGGTAACGTTTCGGCACCACCACTTTCTTCAGTTCTACAAGAAATCGAGTCGAGTATCCACAAAGTTATTTCTAACAAGGCGGATCTTTGTAGTTGTACGAAGTCGAATCCAGTGGAGTGGAACACCGCACAAATAAAGTCGCCTTATCTGAAAGTGCCATTTATGCACTGCGGTTTCCACTAATGGACTGAAAAGACCTCATATAGCTATGCTCCAAAATGCGCGACTGTTCTTTGTCGATTGTTCTTTGAAGGTTCTCCTTTTTTACAGTGCAAACCCATCCAGAATTAGAAAAAATATATTACCTAACATACGGAAAGAGTGTTGCAGGATGGGTTACGAAAACAGATAACTTTAGATGGACAGTTGACTAACAACCGTAATGTTTTGTGAGCCTCATGTTCTTAAGTCATTCATGCGGTATTCCATTCTATTCGATTTGACTTGGTGTGACGGCTATAAAATTTCTTACTGGAACAAACAGTAGTCACTGTGGACATTCATATGGATTCATGGCGGCAGAAGACAGTGGTGGCGAAATGTCGGCTACAAGAAAGATTAGTAACAACTCGTACAAGCTTATTAATATAGCAGAATAATGATTACGAATCCAGAGGTGAAATGAATGTTGGTGCTGGGAAATGAAGTGAATCGTATGTTGATTTGATGAAGGCAGTCGACGAAATAATAAATATGACATTTGTAGTAATTCTACGGACCGACTACCTATTAAACTCAGCATTTATCAGTAGCTGATCCGTAGTACCAGGTCGGGACAGGATAAGACCAGAACACCTGATGAACCTTCCGCCAGTCCTCGTAAACACACTGGCTCGCCTTTCCACGCATTACCTGTCTGAATGTATGGTCCCTACTCGGTGGAAACCAGCAAGACCGTGCTATTGTTCAAGAAAGGTAACCCTCGCGATATCGGCAACTATCGCCCAATTTGCTTACTGTCTGTCGTCTACAAACTTTTCACTCCAGTTTCACTAAACAGGATTGACAGAAAAAGACGAAAGACAGCCGTGTGAGCAAGCAGGGTTTTGAAAAGGATTTAGTACGATGCACCACATCCAGACGATAACAAGACTCATTAAAGTGTCGCGAGGTAAAAAAGAACGCTCCCTCTCACTTTCATCGATTTAAAAAAGGGTCTTTGACTCAATGGAGATAGGAGCAGTCATGGAAGCCCTTGATAGTGAAGGAGTCCCTACTCAGTACACAAAGATTTTTGGTAAGCTGTACAAAAATTTCACAACCAAGATATCATCGTTCTACAACGATGTTAACATTGATGCCAAAAGAGGAGTTAGGCAAGGCGGCACCATCTCGCCAAAATTATTTACCGCCGCCCTCCAGAACGTCAGGCGAACATTGGAATGGGATAATATGGGAGTGAAAATCGATGGTTAGCAGTTACACCATCTTCGCCTTGGTGATGACATCGTTCTCGTTACAACATCAAGCATTAACCAAGCGGAACGTACGCTTGACGACTTTGATAAAGCCTGTAGAAAGATTGGCATTCGGCTAAATCAAATCTCACAAAAACGATGTTCATGAAGAATGGATTGGTTTCGCATGCTCCATTCACGCTCATCGGAACGAATATCTCCGAATGCTCCAGTTATATCTATCTAGGTCGGGAAATCAATATGATGAACGACCTAGTTCCAGAGCTGAGCAGAAGAAAACGAGCGGCTTGGGGAGCTTTTAAGAGCATCGAAGTTGTAGTGAAGAGAACAAAGAACACTCCCCGACTCCGTGCCCACCTTTTCGACTCAACGGTACTTCCTGCTCTAACGTATGTGTCGGAAACCTGGTCGCTGCGTGAGCAGGTTGAAAGGTCATCCAGCGTTATCGAACGCGCAGTCGAAAGGACGATGCTAGGAATATTCCGTTCCACACAAGTAAGGGAGGGGATCCGAAGCTCCGGTCTGCGTCAACGATCAAAAATCAAAGATGCCGTTCTGTACGCCAAACAGTCGAAGATAAGGTGGGGCGGACACGTAATGCGTATGACAACCGATGGACAAGAGCCGTTAGTGACTGGATTGCTTTGGATGTCAAACGCACTGCAGGAAGACTACCGACCCGATGGTCAGAGTTCTTCACCAAAAGCCTTGAAGAAAGATATGATGATTGACGAGTCTCTAGAGCGAGCGGAACCCACTGGGCTACTCTTGCGCGCGACAGGGAAAAATGGAAGATTTACTGGCTCCCGCTCGAGTCACTCGACGATCAACGGGACTACAGGTGATACAGGTGATTTATCAATAGCTTACTGTTTTCTTCATAAGCTGATACAAGTCTTTTATTATACTATTTATTCTCGACAGCTGTTGGTTTAGCCGACTTTGCCTTGTTCACAGCTTGGGAGGTCAAGTTGATGTGCAATCGACCTAACTAAACACCTGTGTGCGCTCAGTAGAAAGGCCGCCATACCTAGATTTCAATCGCACTGGAAACAAAACAGTTTCTTCGCTCTCACCGCTTTCTTTGGGTCATCCGCTAGGTCCGCTAAGTAGTCCACATGGAAATCAACAGCAGAAAGCTCGCAGAGATGAGTAATACCTCGCTCTCACGTTAAAATATCAATCTGAGACACTGTGTGGAATCAGGGGTGATAACAAGGCACTTTTTCTTTCAGTTTATCTCTGCATTCTTGGAAGTTCCCCAATGTGCTTCATGAGCTCTAGGTGTTAACGTTTTGGATCCAGTGCCAGAATGGCAACTTTTACTTCAAAATCTTCCCCATTATGCCTCCGTGTACTACGTGCGCCAACTGTTTAACTTTAACGAGTGGGTGTTCTTTTATACGGATGTTTCGCCAGTGTACCCTTCCCTCCCGTGTACTGTTAGAGCAAATTATGCAATTTTTGGTTGAGCAATAGGTGACTATACAAGCGGTTACGAACTACCTGGTATTTTAGAGTAGTCGGTGGCATTGATTAACTAGACTTTTCCATGTTCTCGAGAGGGTGGAATCCGCTGAAACGTTAGCTATCTTTAATAGGTAGTGGTACAATAACAATCTCATGTCTGCTCATCAAAGAAGTAATAACTTATAACGGCCACAGAAACATAAAGCCGAACTGTTCGCTTCAAACATCTTTCATATTTCGTATGTCACCTTCGAGTTTCCGAAGAATATGCATTAAAAGTGGAGCTTTGATGGGTCGCCAATGAGATAGTTGGCTATAGAGATCAACGAAAAGAAGAGTGGTATCGTTCTCAAAAAAACAGAGACGTTCTTTTACCATCCAGCTACAGGAAGATTGGCTGCATTCGAAGCTAGAGGCGATTTACTGAATACGAGATTGTGTGCGGAGACACCTACTAGCTCTTTGACCATTCAAGTATAGGAACAATAAGAAATATTTGGATTTACAGAGGCAGAGACTTTTTTCCTCAAACACCTCGATATCAGAATTCCACGAATTTGAAAGTTTTCAAGAAATTCTATGGGATCGAATGTGCACCGATTTCTTCAAAGTACTGCGCATTTCTGAATACAATTAAATAAAAAAGGGCAAAGCGTCCGGTGTTGATGAATTCCTGAGGGATGCGCCACGCATCCGATTTCATCAAGCTTTGTAAGGGTGATTAGAAATATGCAATGAATTGCGGTTCTGGTTATGAAGACATCGTTTTCATCTTCCTAGACCAGTCTAGTACCGAATTGCCTACTCCAAAGAGCTGAAAGGTTTGGTGAGCACGACGCGCGAGATTGAACTGGCTATCGATCCAGTGTTTATTACACTGCACCTCTAAACAACTGCGTTACAGGTGCTCTTCACTTGCAAAAAAAGTCATTGGATAATAAAATGTTCTCTAAGTGGAGCAGTATTGAGGGAAAAGAAAAAAATCTTTCAGAACGTCCCAAAAATAATCGCCGCTCTGGTTCCATTTGTTGCCATTTCAACAGCAAACACAATAAACATCCCGATGATGAGAAGCAAGTGAGTTTCGTTTAACAGTGATTAGTCTATTTTTACCAAGATATCAAGAAGTGCAGAAAGTCCTGATATGTGTAATAAACCATGCTTATATGCTGGCATTTATATAGCAGGGATATCTTAGTACTCTCGTCATAAATGCTCTTTTGGCCAGCAGAATGTCTGTATAGCCTTCTTGAGCAGAAAACAGCCCTTGCGGCTCGAATAAGAACCTTTATATTGCACGCGTAGTGGCTCACCTCTAACAACGTCCAGCATCCAGTTCGTGGAGGAAAAGTTACAAAATGAGTGCAAACGGTGTAATAAAAGGCAGTATTCGGGATTGATCTATCCTAGCAGTGCCTTTTGCATGCGCTACCTGAAGTCATTTTTGTTGGGCCAAATTTGCATTCGATCAGTTCTGGAATGCTAAAGTCGGTCAAGTTGAAATCAATTAGTAACGATCATTATTCTCTCTCTAGATATGAGTTGGAACTCACGCACTTTTTCATGAATGTGTTAGACTTGAGATAAAGGATGAAAGGAGAAATCTCTCTGCGTTGAGTTTCATGCCAGCATTGCAAAGGTTATTGAATGCACATCTAGCCTAGACAATAGTTCATGGTGGCCTACCGATCTATGAAGTCGGTGCTGCTATCCTCCCAGATAACTCTAAGGGCAGTGTTGCAACCTAGGACAGATGGAAAGATTGGTCTATCCAGGGCTTAGGGCTATCTCTCCCACATCCAGGGCACCTCCAGCCAATGCGCTATACGCTACCCACGGAGCTCTCCGTGATTGTACCTTGAAAGCCGCTGTACCCATAGCTGTTAAGTGGTCACAGCAAATGCAAGAAAGGCTCTTCTATTTCGGGAATTTAGTACTATTGCTCACCTAGGATTAGGACGCTATCGCAAAAGAAGTATCAGTTTAAGAAATAAAGCCTCTAGTTTACGCAACGCGGTAGCACACAAATTTGCATTTGAAGCGGAATTACGACGGATTAGAAATGTCTTAATTCCTTCGGCGATATTCACCCCAAAATATTAAACTAATATTTCGATTCCATAAGCAAGACAAAAATTCTACATGATAAAGACGCTAATTTTGTTTTCCAATTTTTAGTGCTTGAGGCTGAATTTCTCGTAAAAATCGTTCGTGAAGCGTAGACATTTAATTTCTTTTTTTGGTTATGCTGAGAACAACTTATTTACTGGGATACTTGGACGGCCCGTCCTCGCTAGTTGCGCGGCACTCCAGCATAATCTCCATTTTTCGGAGTTTTGCTGGTTGAGCCACTTTGTTCTCCTGGGGTCCCGTGGTCAGCCTGGCCGAAGTTTGCCCCAATTTGTCGCCACCACAGGCCGTCTCAGACCATGCCACTAGTTTAAGACCAGGACAGTAGGGGGTCCTAGTATTAGTTTACTCTTATCTGGGCTTCCTGATGGAAACGCCGTACTCCTTCTCAACTTGGGAGACCGTGCCGGGGGGATAAATCTCCCCGCTGTGCATCGCAGTCCGACACCCAGGAACACCTCCAAGCCACGGTGAGGCGGTAAACCGTTGGTAGTAAAGACTCTTAATTATAAACAGTTTGGGAAAGCAGAGAAACAGTTTTAACATTGAAACGGTGTATTGCAAAAATATTCAACCCTTAACACTTTCGCGACGACGGCTAATCTTCGGTTTACCGCTAACTAGACGACGCCTAATTTTCAACTTTTGTTAATTTCGTGGTTTTTGCTTTCAAGATGAACAGTAATTCTTCGATAACTGATAAAACGGAAGATTATTGACACGAAAAGATTGTAGGGGAGAATTTGCTATAGTTTTAGCGAGTTATAGCGAGAATGAATGATATTCATGATGGTGCTTTTTTTGTTTTATATTTTATATCACTCCTCTTCACGTCTACTGTGCGGCTCCCAGCACTTCTAACACTCGATTCGTTTCCTCGCATCCATCATTTACTAAGGTCTTCCAAATTTTTACTTGTGGCTTTGACTGCTACTTGAGGAATTTCATTTCGTCTTGAATGTTGTTGAATGCTGGTTGAGTCGGTTCACTCTGGAGTTCCCTTATGACCGCGCTATAACATTACTACATAGACTGCAGAAAGTTAACCTCTCTCGGCCAAGTCCGGAACCGATTACTCGGTATCGGAGGGATGTGGGAATCGGTGTGCCCGAGGCTACATCGAGCTAGCACCACCGTTCTCATGATGGTCGGCATCACTAGCAGTGTGCTGTCCGCCACTATGGTGCTATTTACTACATGTTAATGTGGTCCATCATTCATACACATCACTGAGCGCATTTGAAAGTGTTTTAGAACTTATGAATCTTTAATCCGGCATTTTTTTTGTACCCGCACACTCTAAAAGATCTCTATCATTTTCTGCAGTATTTAGAATTAAAAAAGTTGTCGATTAGTGCCCAATTTTCTGGTTAGCGAATTTATTCGGAAAATGGCTTTTTACATATTTCTGAGTGCGGACTAGATATCTTCCCCAGATATGCCGAACACTGCACTTATGTTCTACCAGCTGTCAACTGATAACAAGGAATATGGACAAGTAATAATTCTCACGATCGACTTTCCATTAACCTCAGCATTGATCAAATGGAAGGTTATAGAAGTGTTTGGCTGGGTAGATTGCCGCGGTCAACTTGACCTTTCCCGGCTCTGAGGAAGGCGAAATCCGTAGAAATGTCAGCTTATTCTTGAATGAAGAATAAAATACATCTCGCATTTGCACAATAAGAATGTAAAGAATTATAAACAAGTAATTCTATTGTTAAGAAAAACCACAGGAAGAAATGATGCCCATCGGCCTAAGATACCTATCTTACTGACCGCTCCAGCAAAACTATTATGATACCTATAGGTGTCGCTCTTTGAGAAGTGTTAAAGCTATAGGGCAAAATCATTCTATAAATGCGTAATGTTTCCAAGCTTTGAAATGCTCTAGTTATTGAGAAATTATTGTCAGTGGGTATGGCTTTGAACGGATTATTTGTTCAGTCTCGTATAACGCGAACACTCATAATTTTCGTGAAGAAAGCGTTTACCATCAGAGTTGAAACATCATGTTTCTAGAATAACCTATTAATTTGCTCTTTTTCGGCTATACAGATTTCATCTTTCTACTCGTAACTACTGGAAATGGGAACTGAGTCCACAAGCCATCGTTTTAGTGAAGGTATCATTGTTGTTCGAACAACTCATTGGGAGTGATAGAACTTCGTAATGAAGTATTTTGTCGAATTCTACTACTACATCACTTTCCTACCAGTCTTAGAGGACTCTCACATTTCTTGTCCAGATCACATTTTCGCCATTTGAAGTGCTTTCACAAACATCAATGATGGTTACGGCTTACCCAAAACATGCTTCACTATTTCTTAATTGTGACACTTAAAGGGTTTTGCAGGTAGGATTCCTCTTGTGATGATGTTGGTTTCGCCAAAACCGCGTTAGCTAAATGGGTTGTTCAATTGAATTATAAGTGCAACACTTAATTAGTTGTCACTAGCAACCATTTAAGCTATGTCGATGATTTTGATCTTCTTGATTTTACACAGAAGCCTCATTTTAGTGAATTCACTCAAGGTATTCCTGTTCAAGATGAAAAAGGAGAAGTATTAGGATCGTCTGTGATTGTACCCTATTACGCCATCCCGCAAGTCACGCTTAGCCGAATAGGCATGGCAGTGCCGAGTATGGGTGAGTTTAAGAAACACTCAATTGCAGAAGAATTTTCTCTGACGAGGGATAGAGGTGCTCATTGTTTACTGCAGAGTAATTCTGTAGTATCAGGTTACTTTCTTTGTGACCTTCCAGTTACTAGAGGCTGAGGTGAAGAACTTACTAGTGCTGAAGTACGTCAGTATTTCAAAATTAAACAATACTGGAGCACTTTATGATGTTTACACCAACGTAAGAAAACCTCCATTTTGAAGTGTTTTATCAGAATACCAGGATGCCTTATTTATACATGGTTCCGTAGATGATTAATTTCAGTGTTCGGTCCAATAGTCTTTCAACTGTTCTCAAAAATGAGGCACTATAAGGTAAGCAGATCGCCATCACGTATCACTCATGTCGTTAAAGTATAAATTTTCTAAAATTAACAATTTTTTTAAAAGGCGATGTAAACTATACAATAGTGAACATCTAAGAGTTTTCACTGCAAGTCTTTCTTGAACGAGGGTTTAGTCGAGCAGCACTCCTAATTTAGAGCACCAATGGGAATTTCATAGCAAATCATATAAGAAAAAACTGAACGAAAACCGTATTAATTGACGGTAGCAGGATGCACTTGTGGAATAATGAGCCTGGCTTCGTATAATGGCTTTTAAGTCGGTTACCCTTAAGGTGCTTGAAGTCACACCAAATTCTAACATTAAATATAAGAAGGATATAAGCACTAAGGTTCAAGAAAATTTAGATTCTAACACAGTTCTGCGCTTGGTCAGCTAGCTTCTATGGTAAGTGAACGACTTAATTTAATGGATGGTCAATCCAGCAATACCATTCGCAGCAGTATCCGGGGTTTGGCCAGTTGGGATGATTATGAAATCTTGCTTTGGTAATTTGTGGACGACCTTTGCCACGAGACTGTTGGGCGAGATTTTTTTTGCGGCAATAACAATAAATAACTAATGACTAGACAGATTACACCTTTCTTCATTAACTTCATCACTACTTTTTTATGTGAGATCCTGTTTTAGCAATGGATGGCCACTCCTATTCAAATTCTAATAGCAGGATTCTTCTTGACGTTTTCCACACCACTTTGTTGTGCCATTTTCCCTCAGAAATCGTCGATCCCCGTAGGTTTTTTCCTTAAAAATTTGAACGTAGTCATTTCACTTTGTAAAGTACAATCTAAACATCATCTCAAGTAACTGGTTGCGATGATAACGATTTTAGGTGAAAAAGCTGGAACCTGGACTGAGGAAGCGGATCGAAGGTCGCGAAGATGCTCCCTCTGTCGTGTACTTCAACAAAGGCTTGTAAGGGAAATGTGGCTCATATATAAACTATTTCAGAAATCTGAGGTTCTAATTGAACTCAATAAAGGACTGGATTTATTGTTCACTTAGATGAATACGATGTTTTGCTGAACTGCATTTACGCATTTTCGGATTTTGATGTTTTTTTTTGTTACTTTGCACCCATTGGCCAAGTGGCGTGTATACACAAAGACACGGTTGAGAATGGTACAAACAGGTTTCTTACTTGCTCTCTTATATAGGTATTAAGTACTTACACGGTTACCTCCAGACGTTGAAGAGGTATCAGCACTTTGTTAGCTTGAGATTTTATGATCTCCTCATGTCACTGAAAAATGTTATTTAGCGAAGTTGAATCTTCACTGTAATCCCGATATGGCCAGTTCACCACTTTTCCAGGACTCAATACCAGATCGTCGGTTGCCACCGTCTATCGAAAAGAGAGTCGCTAATTTATAAGATTTCTTAAGGATGGCGACGATTCCTATAGCTAGCCGACGGACCAATCCAGAATCGTACAATAGGCCCAATCTTCCTAAACTTGGGAGTCAGTGTTACCCCTCGCACAATTTTCATGATGAAGTGCTACCTTCCACACACACACACACACACACACACACACACACACACACA